AGACATGACGATTCTTCTCTGCTGCAAACACCGACTGAGCTCTGGGCTGGGCCCGCCTTCCTTTTATAGAGCCTGGGCGGACCTGATGGGAACCTTCCTGGGAAGAGGCGGAGTCACACCCATTCTTTACACACAATACAATGTTCTTCGTGTATATGGTGTCAGAAACTTTGAGGCAAAAACAATACATCTGCAGAAGGCAATTCTATTTTTCCTTCTCAGTGGTCTTCTGTTTAGTCCTCGAAAATGACACAGAAAACATTCATCTTTCACATTTCATAACTGAGACTACAATCACTAATTACTGTGTTTATTAATTTCATGTTTTTTAAAAATTTCTGTGAAAAGGAAAAAAAACGATATAATATTTTCCTGTTTATAAGTCCTAGCAGAACGGGACGGGTCACAGCAATTTAATATTCTGCATAGAATTTCTTTGACTTTGAACCTTGTAAACATTGTGTTGATTTCTAGATACAAAGAGGTAAAAGGACTGTTTATTTGCTTTATCTATCACTATTGTCCAGACATGAAATATTTGCTGTATGAATGTATTGTATTATATATATCTGGCAGTGTCAGGATTATTATCGGTCAGTGACATGAACATGTACAGATCTGATCATGAAATGTACAATACTTTATTTCCCATCATATAGAGAGGAGGAGATCTACAATATAAATCATCTCCCTATCATGTTCTATATATAGCAGTGGGGGATCCTGGACTTGAGGACTTGGAATAAATAGAACCTACAGAAGTGTTTACATGATTCAGTAATCATCAGAATCCATTCGTAGTCATTCCGGAATGATCGATGAATCTGCTTGGAATTAAAGTGTTGATATTTCTCGCAGAAACGTCTCATCTGATGATCTCCTTTGTTCTCCGGGTCGGATTTGGCGGTATAATAATTATGAACGTTTAACTGTAACGATCTACACCATTCTGGCGGGCAAATTTGAAAGCAGATATTTGAAATCTGAGCCAATCACAGTTGTGGGCGTTCCCTTCACCAGCCAATAATAACAACCTGTTTTGTAGTCCAAATAAATGTATCCTGAGATCTGTCTCCGTCTTCAGCCCAGAAAATATTTGTTCCGTAGACTCTCCATTGATCTCTATAGCGGGGCGGATTCTGTATTCTGAATTACAAATCGAAGCCGGAACCGATCTGACATGAAGATGTCCAACGGATTTCCTATTCTTGGTCCATTAAACTGCCCGAGATGAAGGGGCCGATGATCGATGTTCTCCAGTAGAAGGGGGGTTAATGTCGGTATTTTCAGTATCGGGTCGGAGGATCGGAGAAGATTCCATAGAATTCCGGCGGGACATTTGAATTCAGGAATTTGAATGTTGAGCCAATCACAGATCCGGGAGATTCCTTCAAATTGTAACATTTCTGATTTCTTCTGATGACTGAAGAAGGTGATGATGAGATCCGCGTTCCTCCGAGAGTCGGGAAGATGATTGTTTGGTATATATTGATCTCCAGAAGAAATGTATCAGAAGTAAAGGATGGAGGACAATGAAGATCCGTCCCTGTCATCAGATCACATTGTTCTATTATTATTATTATTATACAGTATTTATATAGCGCCAAAAGGTTTGCTCAGCGCTGTACAGTTAGTGGGGGACAGAACATGAGACAATACAGTAACAATACATACATGAGGGGCTCTAGGGCCCTGCTCTTTGGAGCTTACAATCTAGGAGATAAAGTCACATCAATAAATGATAACATACAATCCTCCCCCCAACAATGTATGTCAGGCTCTGTGTATGGAGATGTGGGGGCTGGGCGCCTCCTCCCAGACATTGGCTGAAGTAAGATAAATATTAATCCTGGTCATTGGAATCTCCGTGCATTATATTGTGGAAAGAAACTTCTTCCAGGAGCAGATGGGAGAAATCAAACACCCAACGTAAGGAACCCTGAACATACAAAACCATCAGATCCCGGCCCACTGAGGAGGTGAATGCTGGGGTACCCAAGTAACCCTGACAGCCTCTCCATCCTAATATACAGTATTCTCCTACAGGCTCTACTAAGAAACCCCCCCCCCCCCCCCCCCCCATCCATCCTCCCATTCCTATCACAGGTAGAAGACCTCTGCAGTTTGTGACCAATTGTGTATGACAAAAGGACGGACTGACCATTCGAACACTCGGGCACTGCCCGAGGGCCCGGGGTCAGTAGGGGGCCCCATGAGATGCCCCTGGTATCTTTCATTGGCTTTTTCATAGGCTTTTCTGGGTGTTGGCGAGGACACAGGGGCCCCATGATCTTATTGCCCGGGGGCCCTATGAGTTGTCAGTCCGCCCCTGGTATGACATATAAAGTCACTGATTGTACACAGAACTGTCGGATCCCTTCATGTCTAGCACAATGTTTCTCAACCTTTTTCAGTCAAAGACCCCTTCAAAATTATGGACAGTCCCGAGGCACCCCATTCTAAAATGTGAAAAACTATTCAATCAGTTTTATATAACACAGCAACACCCACACATGTAGAACACCCCACATTAGAGGTGATTTATTCTTCCAAAGCAAATACACTTGTGCACACTGGTACCGACTAGTATTCCAATGTTTCTCTTCTCCCTCAGTTTTTCGCCATCACTGAGCTAATGTGACCCCAGCACTGATGGAGAGAGGCGGGGGAGGGTCAAACTAGGATGATGTGCATGCAGCTGACATCCTCCTTATCAATCAATGATGTTATAAAAAAAAAAATGATGTTATTGGTTTTCCTGACTGCAAGGCCATAATGGAGCACAATGAAAATCTGCGGATTTCTGTAACTAAAAGGCAGGCTAGTTCCACCCGCTGGCTTGTATACAAGTTTTGGATAATTTGCAGACATTTTGCAAAGTCACCCCTGAAGAAGCCTCAAGGCACCCCAGGATACTTGGGCACCCTGATTTAGAATGATTGGTGTAGCAGACTAAGACAGCGATGTCCTCTATTAGTTCTGCCACAAGCACCTCATTCATGATATAGAAGGTGAGAGAACACATCCTGCCAGACTTCCTCCAATCACGTGTATGGTGTCATTGAGTCCCCATAACATGGAGAAGATTGCAGTGGCAGTGATCCTATGGGCTCTATAATGGAGATGGGACCTTCATCCACAGAGAACAGTGAGGGATTCATTGATTACTAGGAGGACCCCCACAATCCCCCCGATCCCCAATATAGATGAAGACATTCGGGGCTTCTAGAAAGTGTTCTTTATAAGTCAGATCTATACCGAGACCAATAGGAAGTGAGCATGCGCGGCTCCCACTGAGACTGATCGCTGGGCTGTGTATTTGGAGAACAGACAACAGCTGGTCAGTGTGGAAGCCCCGCCCACACTGTATCATCTGATAGAAATCCCCATCGAAGGACATCGGCGATCTCCGAGCATTGTGTGATGGGCGGAGACTTCACTGTGCATGTGAGAACAAAGCGCGGGCTCTTCTAACAATGGAACGAGCAGATCTAGGCGGGAATTTCAAAATGGCGCTTTTTAAGTTAACCATTGAGGAGGAAGAGGTGTGCGTTCACTGTCCAATCAGAGGGCAGGGATGTGTATAAATAGCACTGCAGAGCGGAGGCGCATTACATTCGCAGTTCCAGACAAGAGAGGAGTAGAGATGGCTCGTACCAAGCAGACCGCCCGTAAGTCCACCGGAGGGAAAGCTCCCCGCAAGCAGCTGGCCACCAAAGCCGCCCGCAAGAGCGCCCCGGCCACCGGCGGAGTGAAGAAGCCTCACCGGTACAGACCCGGCACCGTGGCTCTCCGAGAGATCCGCCGCTACCAGAAATCCACCGAGCTGCTCATCCGCAAGCTGCCCTTCCAGCGCCTCGTCCGAGAGATCGCCCAGGACTTCAAGACCGACCTGCGCTTCCAGAGCTCCGCCGTCATGGCTCTGCAGGAGGCCGCAGAGGCTTATCTCGTCGGACTCTTCGAGGACACCAACCTCTGCGCCATCCACGCCAAGAGGGTCACCATCATGCCCAAAGACATCCAGCTGGCACGCCGCATCCGCGGAGAGAGGGCCTAGACCCCCCGCAACAGACATTCCACACAACCCGCCAACCAACGGCTCTTCTCAGAGCCACCACCTCCCCCCCACACAGAGCTCTACACTACCGAACTACAATGACTACAACACCCGGGCACAGGCTTCTGTTGTCGGGGAAATCTCCGCACTTCCTCCCCTCACCCCCCCCCCCCCGGGACCGCCATTCCTTTATTTCTAAAACGCTCATAACTCCAGACATGGAATGTAAGTGATTCGTACAATGAGATCCATCCTCCAAATGGCACCTGGAAAGCCGCTCCCCGTGTTGTATTGTGTTGTAGAGGCGATCCATCCATAGGAAGGAGTCCATTGTCCGCACAACACGATGTTCTCGGTGCGATCATTAGATCCCGTCCAGAGGATGATGTGTCCCCGATCATTACATGGCGTTTCCGTACAACTTCCACAATGGCCGCAATAATAATGAAGGCTGGGAATTCCTTGTAGAGATTATCGGGAAATGTTCATTGTTACCCCTCCCCCCCATCCCACAGTGTGCGGGAAATGACAGATCTCCAATCCGCATATGACCGATGTCGGTGTGTGTGTGGAGGGGGGTCGGGCCTGTGAAATATATCGGGAGGGATCTCTCCTTTGGCCAAGCAGTAATCATTTGTAGGATTGGAGGAATCATTGGATGACCTATGAGGGACAAGTGTACAATGTGAGGAGGATGGAGGATGGAGGAGGGAGAATGCGGCTCGTGGTCGGTGTGTGTATGGAGAGCTCTGTTGGGGGGAGGTGGGGGGCTCTGAGAAGAGCCTTTGGGGGGTGGAGATGAAGGAGGTCGCCGCCCATTATTTCTTCTTCGGAGCGGCCTTCTTGGGCTTAGCCGCCTTCTTAGCTGCCGGCTTGGCCTTAGCGGGACTCTTGGCGCCTTTTTTCGGCTTGGCTGCAGCTTTGCTCTTCTTGGGGCTCTTGGTCACCTTCTTGGCTGCAGCCTTTGCCGGTCTCTTGGCGGCCGGCTTCTTCTTGGGGCTCTTGGCTGCGGTGGGGGCTTTGCCGGCCGCCTTCTTCTTGGGGGACTTGGCGGCAGGTTTCTTGGGCTTGGCCGCCGCCGATGGCTTCTTGTTGCTCTTCTTGGCGGCGGCCGGTCTCTTGGGCTTCACCTTGTCGCCGTCGGGCTGCTTCTTGTTGATCTTGAACGATCCGGAGGCCCATGGCCTTTGACCTGGACGAGGCTCCCCTTAGTCACCAGCGCCTTGAGGGCGATCTTCAGGCGGCTCTTGTTCTTGTCCACATCGTATCCTCCGGCGGACAGGACCTTCTTGAGGGCGGCCAGGGACACCCCGCTGCGCTCCTTGGAAGCGGACACGGCTTGGACGAGGAGCTCGGACACGGCGGGACCGGACGCCTTCTTGATGCCTTTCTTGGCTCCTCCGGCTGACGCCTTCTTAGCCGGCTTCTTCTTGGCGGCGGCCTCCGCGCTGGAGGAGCGGCGGCTGGGGCGCTCTCAGTCTCCGTCATGACTCGGGAAATGTTTCCACAATAGTTCATTACAAATCACACGGCGCTCCGCCTTATATACAGACCTTCTAACACTGCGATTGGTTGACACACAACTCCACTCTGTCCTGCTATTGGTTACACCTCAGACACGCCCACTCTGTCATCCCAGTGTTGGAGTATATTCTCTCCCTTCATGTGTTTCCCGTTAGATATAAAACCGATTTTATTCCGAAATAGAACGATGTCCGATGTGCACCGGGGAGCCGATCTGCTCCCTGGACTGTCACTTATCGGGGGTCTCTTCCAGCTGTCAGGAGCTGCTCACGAGGCTGAACACAGAGGCTGCAAACACAACCATCCTCCGGAGTGGGGGGCCCATTCTGCCTTCTACCTGCTTGGGGGGACACATTCTACCCACAAAACAATCTGCTCCCATCCCCCACTACAATCCGCTTCACATTACACGAGGGAAGAGGGGAGATCGCCAAACATTTCCCTCTAATACACAACTCGGCTCATCTCTAGCTGACTACAAGGAGCCGGGAACAAAAACATCGGCCGATCACAGGAGATCCTTGTGTCCTGTCATGGCAGACATTGGGACAGATACAAAGGGCTCCGCCCATTACAGGGTGTCACGTGTCATGGCCTAGGTGTCATTATTGGATCATCATCACTAATGGACATTGACAGCCAAATCCTGCCAATGACTTGATTGCCGCATTTCACTCCACAGCTCCATAGACTGCTCAGGGGGGAGGTTTGCTCGGAATCCTCGGATCTACAATAGGATTTGATGCTTTCAGTGATGGAAGTCAATCCATCACATTTGGATTCCCTGAGAGATCATTTCAGGAATAGGAAGTTTGCTGCAAATCCCATTCTTGTCTATCATGTGGGGAATGTGGAGAGGAAATGTCCACACACACACACCTCTAACCCCCAAACATACCTATAAGATTGTTTTGTTGTGTTTGTTTTCATGTGGCATTGAGGGCAAGATTGAAAATGCACACTTTTTAAAATACAAAATAAATACAAAAAGCAAAACAATTTTTTTTTTTTTTTTTTTTTAAGTCCGCAAACGTGCAACTATAACGAAAAAAAACCCATAAGTGTTCACAAAAAATGTGCAAGTGCAAAACACACACACGAAAAAGTGCACTTAGGGGTGTGCTGTGTCCTACTCCTAAAGGGGCTTGGACCGCTTACCCTGATCCCCCGGGGCACGAAGCTCCTGACGGGGACAAGGTTCCCAATTGGTCCTCCTGGCCAAAAGGCCTGGTGGACCACCGTTCCTTGTGTCCAGCCGAAGCCAGACACCCAGTACTTGGTCAGGGGGCTCTCCCGAAGAAAAGCCCCCTAGGGATCAGGGGAGGAGGAAGGAACCAAAAGGCCACACATCCTCCCCCTAGACTTCAGGGTAGGCCCGAGGACCCACACCCTCCATCCGTGAAACACACACACACATAAGCGAAAGAAAAATGACAAAACGTGGGAGGTGTTAAATAAATTAAATAAATAAATAAATAGAAAATTTAAAAAAAAAAGGTACCGTGCCAAATTGTGCACAGACCAGGCCCTGAGGCCTGTAGCAAAAATTGCCCTGGTCCTAGCCAAAAGACCTGGTCCTTAGGGCGCTGTGCAAAAAGAGTGAAAAACAGTGGCCATGTGCCATCTTCACACCGTGGGGTCCCACACCCAAGTGTTACTAGTGACACCCCTGAGGCAACTACTCAGGGGGCACTGAGTTTGCAGACTTTTTGCGTCCTCAGCCCCTGGCCAGACCAAGGTAGATCCGTCCAAATCAGGAGGTACTGGGTCTTTCCAGTCTTCTCGGAGGAATTACTCCCGGGGCCCCAGCATAACTCGTGGCGCTCCCCGGTTTCTGTCCCTCCGGTACTAGCCTTCCGGACCCCCATCATACCAGTGAGGGTACTATACAACAGCTCCCATCCCCGCAAAGCAGAATGGCCGGGAGCACCCCCACTGGACACTGATAAGAACAGATACTACACTAGATCTTAAAGGGAACACGGGAGATTGCAGCGTTGTTTCTGCTCCCCACTGGACTTTGTTTAACATGTAAAAGCCTTTAAGAACAGATACTACACTTGATCTTCCAATCCGGAAAAAGGCCGATAGCCAGCCTACGGGCGAATGACAAAATGTAGCAAAACAAATAACAAACAATAAAGGTTTTCCCATGTTGGACAATGAGGATAAAGGTTTGCATTTTGCAGTATTTTTTTCTGCTCTCTGCGCTCCGTCTTCGGTCTTTGTCCTGTTTAGTGTTATCAGGTAGAGGGGAAAGTAAAGGAATATTGCCAAATGTTGAGTTGTCACCAGAATATGACCATAAAGAGTTAAATACATCACCTGGGAGACTTCACCCCTTTGATGAATATGTCAGCTGTCATGCAACGCTCCTCCCCCCTCCCCCCCCCCCCAAGAGCACCGCTCCTCTCTATCCACAAAGCACGGCGGGCTCCTCTCTATCCGGGACGGACTAACCTGCACATTGGGGGGATGGGATGATTGGCTGCAATGCTCAACACTCCCATTAGGTGTCACTATATTTTACACACATAGACGGGAAGGATTTTGTTGTTACTTAAAATGTTTCTCTTTTCTGCTCTTCTTGATACATTGTTGCAATCCAGCAACATTCGATTCCCCAAGAGATCATTTCAGTAATGAGACCTTTATTATCTACCGTGTGGTGGATCGGGGGTGTCCCCCTTTTGCTCAGAGCAAGAAGGGAATCGTATTATTAATATTTTCTGATTATTATTATTATTATTATTATTATTATTATTTCAGGATTTATATAGAGCCAACACTTTGTGCAGTGCTGTAAAAAATATAAATGGAGACAATACAGCAACAATACAATTCAATACAAGAGGGTTAGGAGGCCCTGCTCCAGGGAGCTTACAATCTAGTACAGAGGGGCTGGTGGGACAAAAGGTAATAACTGCGAGGAATAAACTGATTGGAGAAAAATAAAGAATACATCAAAAGCTTTACCTGGTAATTGCTTTGGCACATCCCCCCACCCCACCTCCCCCCCCCCCCCCCCAGATGTTTTAAGATGTACCTCAACTAGTGTTACATTGTCATAAGCTCCCAGACACCAAGACAAACCCCCCCTTTTCCCTCTTTCCCCCCCCCCCCCCCTTCCCTCTGCACACTCTGCCTTTGTAAGAAATAAATAGAATAATAGGAACAATTGGCAAACTATTGTAAGAAAATAAAAATTAGTTTTGGATAGGAGAAGAGGAGAAAGGGTCAACAGTTTTTTCCTGCTCCCTGTGCCCCATTAGATTCACCTTCTCTTTTTTCCCTGTTTACTGTTATCAGGTAGAGTGAAAGTGAAGGAATTTGCCCAGTTTTGGGTTGTCACCAGAATCCTGGGAGACTCACGCCCTCTGAATATGTCAGTTCTTATCTGCATCACATTTATCCCTTATGCAGGATGTTGCTTGACACAGCAGAAGACAGAGGGGAGAATACTCTCCCAAAAAAAAAAAAAAAAAAAAAAAAACAAATGGGGGAAAACCTGTGAAGTCCCTCCCCAGGCGGCGGACTGACCATTTGGAAACTCAGCCACTGCCCGAGGGCCCGGGGTCAATAGGGGGCCCCATGAGATGCCCCTGGTATTTTTTTCATAGGCTTTTTTGAGTTTGGGCAAGGACACAGGGGCCCCATGATCCTCTATTGCCCGGAGGCCCCATGAGTTGTCAGTCCACCCCTACTCCCTCCTAAATTCCAACTGGACCCTTGATCCGAGCACAGGTCTGGCAGGGCAAGAAAGGGGGGGTAGAATTGAGCGACCTCCCCTGCACCTTACCAGGCCATGTGCCATCAGCTTTGGGGGGAACAAGGGCCTCTTCCACACAACCCTGGCCCGGTGGTTATGGGGGTTTGCTGGCAGACAGGCTCATTAGTATCTTTAATTGAACACAAAACAACAGTTTTTGACAAATCTTTTAATACCCACCGCCGTATAACAGATATACTGCTACATGGCGGTACAGGTGCGAAAAATTATGTATATTTACTTTTTTGCATTTCCAGGTGGGAGGGAGCGCATGAGGCGTGTGACCGCCCTACCCGCTCCACAGATCGCAGCCCCGGGTGTCAATCACCTGGTCCCGGCCGGTGATTACCTTCCGGTGCATGGTGATTGCCGAGGATCACCGATGGGGAGGAGGGCTGCTTTGTTTACCAACATCCCTCCTCCCTGTCAGCTTGGGCACACTTCACTGGATGGCTGAGCAGAGCCATCCAGAGAAGTGTGCTTTTACAGTGAAGCACCCCCCGTCTTTCACGTAAAACAATTAATTTACATGTATTGGGATTTTTTTTTTTTAGCAAAGACATGTTGCAGCATACATTTTGGCCTAAATTTATGACAAAATTTTTTTTTTTTTTTTTTTTTTTTCTGTACATGTTGAACTGCTTCTGCACCACCCTATAGTAGAAATACCTAGTAATCACCTTAACTAAACATTTGCAGATGTCTATACTCCCCAGCAAAACATCTGCGTTGATGAGTCCCTCATTAATTTTTTCTGGCCGCCTTACATTCAAACAATTTCTCCCCAGCAAGCGTGCCAGATATGGGGTCAAGATGTGGAAGACCTGTGAGAGGGTAACAGGCTATACCTATAAGTTTCGTATTTATGAGGGAAAGATCACGTGGAGCCCTCCGTATGCCCAGACTACATGGAGAGCAGTGGCAAGATAGTTTGGGACTTGGTGTCATCCTTTTTCCATGTGGGGAACCACTGATAAATGGACAATTTGTATTCAAGCGTGCCACTATTTAGACATTTGTACAATCTTGGACCAGCGACGTACTTGTACATCAATAGACTTTGAATGGTTATATGAGGATGATGCCTGCAGCTTCATGAAATTGTCCAAACTGACTTGGTATGCTGACGCCTTAAAAATTCCCTTCACTGG